TGGTTCATTGAAGATAGGGAAAGACTTTTCCTAAATAATAAAAATTCACATCTTCTGGAATTCTATATGAACTTAGAATATCATTCCATATTATACATGGAATTTCTTATGAGGTCAAACCTTTTTGTTATCCTAATGTAATTTACGTCATCTCCTAGATGAATCAAGTCTAGATTTACAAATAAATGCCACAATATTTCTAGATTTGTTCGAAACATAGTTTGATGGATTTTTTTTTTTTTGGAAGAAAAACTATGAAGATGTAGTTGAAAACTGATATGAATCTTTTTCAGGTAAACATAGGAACTGGATATCTCCAATTCATGAGGCATGAAACTGATCTTTCCTTCGACTTTTGGAATATCCATCTGAAAACAGCCAATTGGATGCAAGTTCTAGTTACAAGCTCAAAATAATTCTTTCTTCAAAGAGAACAAAATGTAGAGGTGTGCAGAATTGAATCGGGTCGAAAAACCTGATTCAAAATGAACCAGTTAGGACAGACTGCTTCGACTAAACCGGTTATGTCCGTCAGTTCGGCTAAACCAATTTGGTGAGGTCGAAAATTGGTTAGTTTTCCGGCAAACTGAACCAACTGAATAACCAATTAAAATATATTTTCTTATACCTAAATAATAATTATGTAATATATATATATATCATACAAAAATCCCTAATTCCCATTTTCCCATTACCCCCCAACCCAATTCAGTCACCCTCAGGTCCCTCACTCGAGTAGTCGAGTCTCTACACACACTGACACACTCCTCATTCTTCACCAGCTGGCACAGAAGGCCCCTACCCTCACTCTCTCGGCTCTCGCCTCTTAGTCAAACCAGAATGCAGAAGGTCTCATGTCCTCTCCTTCTCGGCTCTCCCCAATCCCCACATTCCTCACCACCATGGGGCACGACAGCACCCTCACTACCTCTCAGCTTTGAGGCTCTCAGTCGAATGAAAAGCTCTCTCTGGCTCTCTCTCCACAACTCGAACCGAAAGCTCTCATCTCATCTGATCTCTCTCAAGTTTCAAGTCAACTCTCACAGTCCAAGATAATTCGTGAAATTGGGAAAAAACCATGATAAAAAGCACCACGTTGAATAGGTAAATACAGTTTCAATTAATCGGTTATGAACCGAACTGACTGAGATAATTTGGTCAGTTTGATTTCGCTTAAACATGTAAATCCGGTGGGTTCGGTTCGGTTATGTTCGGTTTTTGAATTATTTTTTTTATTTTTTATTTTTGAAATAAAAAGAGATATCACTTCCAAGGGAGTACCACTCAATATACAACAGTTACAGCTCAATCAAATGATCTAAAACCATCCACAAATCCTCAAGATCCTGAATATCATGTTCCAAGAATAAAGAACCAAAAAGATGAAACCATCTATCCTTGATGCTGTTAAAATCATTTTCTATCCCCCCAAAACTCTTAAATTTCTCTCTTTTCACACAACCCACATTAGAGATAATGGAATCAGCATTAAATAATCCAAAAACCGACCATTGAACTACCCCTAATCAAATCCTTGATTATACATGCATATGCAAGATAACATAACGGAGGCAAGAGTAAAGAAATGAAGTGTGTATTAGAGAGGAGCTCCAGTATCCTTCAATTAGTAATACATTAAAACATGCATTAGTTCTGCACCATTAGATGTTCCAATTTGAACATTCAGAAGGAGAAAAGACCCTTACCCTTCTCAGTTAAGAGCTTGCGAGAGTTGCTTCCATGATGAGCTAAAAAATTGATTATACCAGCTACGGATATATCTCCTTCATAAACGACAGCTTCTTTTTTCTCAGCAGGAAATAACATCAGAGCAGGATAAACTTCCCTCTGAAAGTCCAATACACCCAACAATATGATAGACCCATAAAATTTTGATTAAGAAAATATATAAACATTGGGCTTACGTGATTATCCGTAAAACCAAAAAAAAAAAAAAAGATAACTTAGAAAGTTTAGTTTGCAAAATAACCTCCCATTTCCACATTTATGGGAATTCCAGGTTGCCAGCAAGTAATTCCAACAGCAACAAAGTTAGAACTATGAAACAGCGGTTTGCCCTCACTCTATCAGAGATTTAGACACTTTAATGGAATCATTTATTTTTATCAGAGATATATCAAATTTCAATTCTATAATGAGCCCTATAATAGAATTCTTGAAAGATTGGAAACAGTGCAGAAAAAGCCTGTTGGTGCCTTGTTAATGTCATACTTCTTTCCTTTTAAGAAAATGACCAAGGAAGAAAGAGCCCTTTTAAAGGTCTCATATGAATATTAAGTTTTGGGATAGAGAGGTATTTCTCACTTCTCTTTGGGCTATGGCCCAGAGATTCTCAGTTTCTTTAAGGGGTTTTCTTGGTCTACACTTCAAAGGAATTGGGATGCTATTTGTTCTGATTCACCTCCTTGCTTGTGTTATTTTTTCTTGCTCCTGGTTTGAGGATAGCTCATCCTCCCGTAGCTTATATTTCCTTCTCTCTTCCTACTAATGCCTTTAACTAAAAAAAATTGTTTCCTTTTTTGTTGGAAGATAGCTTATCTTCCTATATCTTCTATTGCTCCTCTCTTTCTAATACCTCTCCTTGTTGTAAAATATTAAAAAACAAATAACAGTAATTCTTTCACGTCCAAAGAGTGGACAATAAATGACCAGCAAACTAGCAATCTCAAAGTTTGAGTACATCAATAGATACGCTTAAGTCCTGAAAGTTGAATACTCGAGATCCTTTTCTAAATTTATAGCAGAGTTATATTTTAACTCAACATAAATTTATGAATGACCTAAGATTATCTTCACCGCCATCCAAGATTAGTTTTAAGAAAAAAATTTAACTCACTAGTTTAACAAAGCAACCATATGCTACAAGATATTTCAAATTAATCACACACAACAAATCAAAAATAGACATTTTACTTCCTGTGAAAATGCCAGAAAAAAGCATTATATAAGGAAAAATCAGATATGATTTAAACAAACCTGCTTAACTGATTTCAAGATCAAGCTGCAATCATTCAGTGTGCAATCCAGTAAGTAGATTGATGGAAATTTTGCATTAACGTTCGTCAAGTTATCTGTGACATTAAAAACAACTGTCAAAAAGATGTGAAACTATTCTACCACTACCATTCTTCATACTTATACTAACAGACAATTTTCAGAAAACAGAAATATATAAATCAATGCCACTAATGAACCGGCAATCCATTACTTACACCGGGTGACATTATGCAGCAGGCTCACTGAATTCCTTAATATACTTTATGGAGAAACACTCAACTCATTCAACTCAAAAGGACTATTTTCCAAAATTAGTAAGAAACTATAAACATGAATTTCCACTCTTCCATCTCATGTTTAGAGGTAAACTCTTATATTTTATTTGACAACAAAGCCCCTTTTGCACTTTTTCTAGGTAAGAAAACATTTTAATTACAAGAGAACCAAGAGGATGCAGCACGAGCACATCCTGCAAGTTATTTTTAAGGAAATATTTCTCTCTCTCTAAACAGCTTACTCCAAAAAAAAATTCTGTTAGTTATTTCTTGAAATCTCTGAGCATGAATCCTTCCTCCTTGGAGCAACTCATTCTTCTATAAACCAACTCTAGAAGAGTTGGGAAGTTCCTCCTCACCTCACTAAGACGTTGTGGGTTCATGGGCTGCCATAAGCAGCTTTCCATGTAGCAAAAGAGAAAAAAAATAATAAAATAAAATAAAACTTATGCTGCACGTATTCAGATCATTTTGAATGCTCTCTCCTTACTTATTTAAGTTATTCCAGCAGCTACCATCTCAGCCTCACTCATGCCATATCTGGTTGTCATTTCTTTCTGTATTTTCATACCCCATTCAGCAATTTTTTTCAATTGTACTCATTTTTTTAAATGAAAAGAAAAGCAATGTTAATATAGAGAAAATAGAGGAAGCACAAGTGAAGAGAGTAAGACATCCTCAAAAGCCTCAAAAGCAGAAAAAATTTAAATATAAAACTCTATCTCAAACCCACGTAAACATTCTTCCTTCCATTACACGTTCCTTAAAAAGCCCAAGACTTATTTTTCCATTAATACTATTTAGCTTCCAGGCAAATTCCAGTCTAAGACTAACTAAATTAGTTGACATATGAAACCCAGCAGATGAACAAGTATCTAAGCCTATCAGGTATTTAGGCCCAAACCACGGTTAGCTGACAATTTTAAGGCATATGCAAACAAAATCCATTTTAGTTTCAAAAGAAACCCAAAGAGGTATAAGAATCTGGAAACTTTCTAGCAACAACTATCTACTATAATCATGATTAACTGTTACGAGTAAACTTATCACTTCTTATCATGCAACATGAAAAAACCCAGTCCATGCACTTCTAGACTACTAAATAAATCAGCTATAAACCTACATTCTGAATATTGAAGAAGTAATTAGTTTCATAAGAGAATAAACAAAATTGAATAGGAATTTTCCATCAAAAAAACAAATCAAACTTTTTTCTATTTAAACGCATTACTATTATTTGATGAAGCCCCCAAAGGATGAGAAAGAAGGTAAGCAGGAAGTAGATAAAGTACCAAGAAATACATGGATGACATGTATGTGTATATATAACTATATCACAGAGAAAACAGAATCTAAAATTGCATCTTTGTCGGCTCAAGCACTCCTAAGCTAACATATAACAATTACTTCTATAATGTAAAAATGTTACATAAATTAACTACCTGCTAATAATGCAAAAGAATTGTCCATTTTGCACAGCAAGATAAATAAAATAAGGAACCAAATATGGCAAAAAGCAATGGCAAGATGACGGATAATTATTTTAACCACTTACCAGCATTGCCAACCGTACCTGCTAATAATGCAAAAGAATTGTCCATTTTGCACAGCAAGATAAATGAAATAAGGAACCAAATATGGCAAAAAGCAATGGCAAGATGACGGATAATTATTTTAACCACTTACCAGCATTGCCAACCGTGTTGCTGTTTGTAGATTCATTCTTCAACATTTTCATATATCCTTTTATGGCCCGATAGACTTCACGAACAACTAGTTCCATCCTCTGACAGAACCCACACCAACTAGTGCTGAAAAGAACCAAAACATCCTCATTCCAAGCATGGGACGCATTTTCAGAGTTGGATTGATTAAAACCGAGAGCCAGCTTAGAGAAAGAACTAGTTGTAACCTGAGGAATGGAATTCACCTCATGAAAATCCGTATTAACAAATGGAGGAGGTATAGCCTCTCTAGAACTTTGAACAATGGTCTCCGAGCGTCGATATGGAAAAAGGCTTCCATTAAGATATGCATGAAGGAAGCCAGCCAATGAAGAACTGCTCAACATCATCTCTTTGGGGCAGACATAATGCTGCTCTGTAGTGGGATCAATTATAACCAATGATGGTGTCACTGATTGACCAGTTAGAGCTTTAAGTAACCGGTAGTTACCATCAGAAAAGAAAAAGGAACCCTCAAAGTTATGATGTCTTTCTTCTTCTGACTCTACATGTGAAGAACTATTTCCTTCTTTCTTCACATTTTCAGTGATAGCACCATCAAGCTGATCAGCTTCTATAGATATTAACTGTTCACTTGCATCAGCTTCTTTCTTCACATCTTCAGATCTACTCTCCTTCTCTGGTAAATATTCAGCATCTAGATCAACAGTTTTTGTTGCACGGGCTTCTTCAGAAGGGAACTGCGAGACTTGATTAGGTCGAACTTCTGTCGATAATGGCAATGTATCTGATATTTTGATGTCAATATCATCTGATAAAAGACGGAAACCGACCTCCTTGGCAAGCAAGCTTAATTTTGTTTCCTTCTTTCTTTGAAGAAGATTTTTTAATATCTCGTGCAAAGAACTACCTTGTAAATCTGAAGCAATATCTAAAGTCACATGTTTACCCTCATTAATGACCATGATAGACATCTCATCCTTTAATTTAATCATCCGAGCTTCAGGAGATAGGTTCAATCTAGGATGCTCAGATGGACTAGTTAAAACTTGATAAGCTTGCTTCAGGGATTTCTCAGATTGGTCATTCTTGTGCCGTGCTCTCTGATCAGGTATCTTAGAGCTTGCAGCTACTTCTCTAAAGAACTTAAGAACTTCCATACTCTTTCTTCTAATCTCTAATGATTCAGATGATCTATCCACAAATAAGATTACTGATGGCTTATTTGCAGGTAAAGCTGGATCAAGATCCTGATCATAACCTTCTAGCTACACACAAAATGAGAGAGCTGTTGACATTTTAATACAGAATAAAAGGCCACAAAAAACACACACTAATTTGCGAGGGAAAAAGAGACAACATAATGAGACAAGGGAGATATATAGACCATTGTGGTTGACAATCACCACAAAATGCACTAAATAAGGGTGATGAAAAAAAAGTTGCACCAGTTTTGGAAACAAAATTCCAAGGAAAGAGGTCAACGCCAATTTTTTTTTTCTGTCTTTTCTCTTCTTGACAGAGGGAATGCAACCTTCTCTTGGCTGTAATTCAGGCTCTTATGGTGGCACAACTAGTTATTACAGATCGCAATAGCTAAAAGGATCAAGACATAATCAATTGAACAACCAGAAAGCAGAAATCAATAATTCATTGACAAATACTACATGAAAAGAAGATCCGCAAAGTGAAATCAAATAATTATTTTTCCATCTTGGTATAATACCGTACATCAGATGCAGTGTGTTAAGCCCAAAAAGGAAAAGAATCAACAAATAGCCATCTGCAAACCAATACTATATGCAACACATATACATAGATTACACCATGCCCACATGCTATAGCATCTTACTGCCAGGGAGAAACAACAAGATAAGCATTAAGAACTACAGTCTATGCAAAATAAATCAAAGATCAACAATTATCTTGCATAAACAAATGAAAATTATTTCATTAAAATCATAAACAAATGATTCCATTAAATTCATAAGCAGACTTTAGAAAGAAGTTTAAGGTTATATGCAGTTAAATACCATGCCCTTTAATATTATCCAGTGAGTTATCAAGCATCATAATAAGTAACTATATAGACTATACACTTGGTAATCCTGACCATTTAAGTGTTCAAGATTCCCATTCAAAGTAAACTAGCAACTCAAATGATAAGGCTTTAACCTTATATCACTTCTAGGTACCAGAGAACAAACTCTGAAAAAACCCCAAACAGTCTCCAAAAAAAAGGAGATTTTTATGAGAAGAAAGAACAAGCTTACTTCTGCCACAATTGAATTATCCATCTGTAGAGCACCCTTAACTTCATCTGCCTCTTTGACAATCTTTGAACATGTTGGGCAGCCAGCAGAATGAAGCATTACTGACCATGAACCAGAATCACCTATACCAATAGATGAGAGCAACGATCTTTCCGTAATCAGACCAAATCTATTTCTCTCAGGAGGCAGCAAAAACTCCCTAGCAATGGCAATGAATTTGGAGAAGAATTGATCAAACTGCTGAAAATTTTCTAAAGTACAGGGCAAGGCAAGACCAAAGTTTACATCATCAGTGTCCCAAAATGTATCACTGTCATTAACTGAGCTGAACTCCATAAGCCAAGGAATCCCACCCATGCCATTTTCTGTGCCACACATCAGCTTTCCATGTTCCACTTCCTGTTTAGGAATACAAAGAGGAACTAAGGATGATATAACAGAAACAGAGCACTTAGTGCCAGACCAAATTAATCTCATACAGATATGCTGTTAGAAGCTACCAGCCACCTTCAGTTTACCCTTCCCTCTTGTCACTGTCAGTCTATCACTCTCTCCACTGAAGCTTCTACTGGAAAGATCCCCTGAAAAGCACAAATTCAACTTGAAGAGGCAACCACTGTTTTTATAACAGGCCTGCTACTACAGAGCAAGAAAAGGAAGGTTGAAAAAGAAAAAGGGGCTAATACCAAAGTTAAATGGATACTGCCTTACTAAAATGACACTTTGAATCAAAGCATTTCATATGATGTCTGGGAGGTATCTCAGTGGACTCATAAGAGACTACAAAAATATATAATTTCTACATGAATTAATATGTGATAGAAATTTTGATCGATATGGGGACAATTTGGTAACGTAACCATTTCAAAAATGTTATTTTGATCAACCTGGGAAGGATTTGGTATTCTAACGATTTCAAAAATGTTGTTATCTAAATAACTATATGCAGTCTCCAGAGTGGCTAAGCAATTAAAAGATAAGTTGAGAAAATAATCGTAGGCAATTATCACCTGGAAAAAAGAAAAGACAATTTTATATTCTTCCCCAGTGCTTATTTCAAACATATTCTTCCCCAGTTCCACTAAATAGGGAATAGTTCACCACTTAGCAACTGCCTTCAATGCTAAGCCACACAAGTCAGGTTTAATGGTAAAGAAGCTTCTTTTCTACAACTAGAGATCACTAGTTGAGGATTTTCCATATTTTTCTCAAAAGCAATACCATTAAGAATTGGATTGATTTGTAGCTCTGTTGGATCCTTTTTGCTTGGGAGATTTGTAAATTCTCTGCATATTGGGCACACACCCTTGGCGCCTCATCTATATATGTCTTTTCTTCTAAAAAAAGGGCTTAATGGTAACAAAACCAAGTTTTTTCTCAAATGAGGAAGAAATATTACAATAAAAAGTAGGATAAACTGAAAAGGAAACGAGGAAGTTCGCAGATGTTACCAAGAATGACTAACTCACCTTGCATGCCAAAATCATACTCAGTCACGTTCTTCTTCACCTTCGCCAGCAGTCTAGGAGTCCATCCACAAAGCTCCAGAAGAATTAAAGCCCGATCTGTTGATTCAACGAATGTCTCCAAGTCCTCTTGGGAATTCAAGCGTTTGAGAGGAAGTTCTTCAGGCGAAACTGACAAATAAGGATAAACAGAAAACAATATACTCTGTGCTCGAAGTTTTCCTTGATACTTATAAGATACAGAATGGTGATAGTATAAGAGTGTTATTCCCTCTGTAGCACCAATCGCATTCGCCAGCATCTTCTCTAAATTTCTGTACATAACCATTAACTTGAGAGACCGAAACTCCTCTCCCCTTTCAGTAGCCAACTGAACTATTTCCATCATTAGGGATCGAGACTCACCACACCCTGTCAATCAAAGCCCAAATAAGACTTATATTAACTGTTTCTCCTATATTACATATCAGGGACAAAGAGAATCCCGTGAAACTTAGATTGGGGAGAGAGAATACGAACAGGGAACCGTGACCAGAAGGAGGATGTGGGGGTGTAGTCGGATCTGAGAGGAGAAGTTTTGCTTTGTCAGAATCTGCCATTCTCCGTCGCTGTTTGATTGACAACCAACAGTGGATGAGAAGATAACGATGGCTAAAGCCAACGGCAAGAGCAACTTCATCATCATCGTCCTCTTCGATTCACGCTTGTCTGGAAGGAAGTCGGAAGTAAAAGAATCTGTATGAACTATTTAGACTTTCTTTTTCTAAATGAGAAAGGCTTAATTTTATTTTTGTGAGCAACATTTTACACATAAATAAACTTTTTTTATATAATTTATTTTTAAATTCCTAATTACTTTATTAAAAGATTATAAAATCTTTTATAAAATTATAAATAGTGACTTCATGTTATTTTACATTAAACTAAAATAATATCCTCCAAATTCCATCAATTTTGCTAACAATTTGAATTACTTGCTTTAATTATGTGAAAAATTTTACATGAGATTTATTTTTTTATTATCTTAATTTGTTCAAGCGGGGGTGGACAAAGCTGAAGCAAGAATATCGACTTAAGTAATACAAATATTAATGAGAATATAATATTCTGAAAACCAAAGGTCCCTCAGGATTCATCTAGTGCATTATCTATTAAGTAATTTTTCAATAAGTGGGCATGCTCAAGATTTGTGTGTAAGTTAACAGAGAATAAATTTTACAAGTCACCATAAAAGTTTCAACAATCATAGAGAATAAGTACTTTCACCATCACATATATATTGAGAGAAAAATAATTGTGTGTACCAACAATTATAATTAATACTTAGAAAATTTATTTAATTACTATCCATAATGAATAATTATCATTTATGAAAAGATCACGTCATTGTATCAGTAATTCACTATCTCTTATATAATATTATATTACTATAATTTGTGTTATTTTTTTCTAAAATTTATCTTATTCTTTAAACATATTTTTAAGTTTTAGTAGTTGAATACTTACGAATTTTGGCTTTCATAGTGATTCTTTTTTTAAAGAAAACTTGATGCTGGTTTGTTCATAATTGGTTTCAAGAAATAAAGAACAATTAAGGTAAACAAAATATTGATTGATAGGCAACTGTTTACTAGTTATCTTATATTAATCATCAATCTCTATCTATTAAATGTCAATTATTATCTATCAATTTTTAGCCTTCAAATATCATCTATCAATCCTCAAAACTATCATCTAAACTTGTATAAACATTGATATCATTATTTTAGCATTTTTGTGGGAAGGCTTGTAGCAGGAGGAAAGAAAAGTGTCTGAACCACTTATATATTTTCTCACACAAGTATTAATGAAAAAGCGAGATCACAATACTGATAACTACAAGTAGTAATAATTTGGGGTGTGCTAAATTCTTAGATATTTAAGTTTGATAATTTCAAATAGTGTTGGAATCTAATTTGACTTAAATCACGATTTAAAATTTTCTTTATGCTCGAGCTCACTCAGTCTAAAAACATGAAATTTGAATTATGATCATAAAAAACTATAGTTAAACTAACTTGTAATGCTCAAATTCGACAATGAATTAGCTCAAATTGTTTAAAATGAAGCTTCATAAGCTTGATGAAATTTGTTTATCAAATATAAAAATATATTTAATATTTAATAGATAAAAAATATATATTTATGAATTTTCAAATCAAAATTTTAGAGGTTAGATTCAGCTTATTAACAAAACAAAACTTTCTTGCTAAATTCGAGATGAATCTGAACGAGTTTGGTCGAGTTGAATTATAATCATTTAAAGACGTATTTGGTTGGTTGCCACCATACTAACCCCAAGATGTGATCTCTTGTAAAGAGTAAGAAATAATAACAAGGGAGCTCCATGAAAGAGACAAACAAATAGATGTCATGCAAAGCTAGTTAGAGAAGTTGTAAGTTTTTGTATCCTCTAGTTAAAAAGCATCAAATAGATATAAAAAATAGAATGAATAACCTAAATGTGCAAGAAGAAATGGACTTTGACATTGAGCAAAAAAAGTCACATGAAGGCAAAATAAACTTTAGAATGGATAACAATAAGTTGTACTCATAGTAGGTAGCTTTCTAAAACCTAAACTCGATTTATAATCATTATATGATAATTGAAACCCAATATAGATCCAAGTCCATCAACTTTCAAGTTTTTTAACTTAAGTTAAGCCATTATTAATGCGGAATCCAAGATCAACTAACATGATCAAGAACTCACACAATTTCATTCAAGACACCAAAAGAATTTGATCATATGATAACCTTCCCTAATTAACCCTCTATCAAGAATGATATGAACTAAAATCACTGAAAAATGGATGATTTAAAGAATAATGGAAGAACACCACAAGGAATTACCTTAATAAGTATATCGACTCCTTGTTCCACAAGATGGATGAAGATGCCTCTCTTGAATAAGACTCATAATGTTATTGATTTCAATCTTGAATACTTACAATTAGAAATTGAAGGCTTATTTATAGAGTAAGGTCATTGGCAATACAAGGAAATAGATCTCTTAGATATTGTTTTAATTAAAGAATTAATAAAAACTAAGAAATTTCGACTAATTAGGCTAGATTTGATCTTCCTTTTTGAAAACTTTTAATGGAGAAAATCTTAATTGATTATAAAAAAATTAGGAAGAAAATAAATGGAAGTTTAGGGCTAGCCATAATCTTTCCTTTTCAGCCGGAATATGGTTTTTTAAAAGTCTTGT